GACTAGAAGCCTGCTGTTCTCTTTACACTGCATTCTTACGTAAAAAGTACCTCTGTTTACAAATTGCTGTGGTGTCTCCAGTGGCATCACAGCATCCTAGCAAAGATGTTATACTACTGGAGGCTTTATCTAGCTCTCTAACCCTGCAAGCTCCTTCTCTCAAATTGCTATAAAACGTAAAAAGAGAAGGAATATTTGCACAAGCACATCTGGTACATTTATTTATTGACTGAATAAATGTTTCATAAAGGTTGCTTCCAATCAAAATCCAAACAAGCAGAAATGACATAAAATTTTAATAGCCAAGATTAATTATTCTGCCTTACTAATTCTGCTAATACAGTCATTATGCACATCATCAGGCTGTCTGTAGATCTTAGCTCTTAAAGGAAACGCTCCAAGTTCAAAATGAACCCAGACAGAACTGGAATGCTCCTCGTCAAAACAGATACTCTTTAGAGAGCTAATCAGATCAAAACCTCCACATTCTGTGGAAGTGTACATAGCCTTCTTGCACCAAAATTTGGAGGTGAATTCTAGATCCTGTTTAACACCCTAATGAACCTAGATAAGTAGGTACCGTGAAGTTCCAAAAATTTCTTTTTAAGCTGCAGCTTGTTAAAAGGTTTGTCTCAGCTCAAGACAGGTATTTAATTTCTCTTCTCTACAGTTCAAAAGATGGACTTTCACGTCATAATCATTTTTTCCACCACAGTGCAATGCATAGGCAGATAAATAAGGATGGAAGGGCTTCTCAACATCCACACCCTATTAACAATTTTAATATTTGTCCTGAAACAACGTTTATTCTGACACCATCCCTTACCAAAACAAGTCAACTATACCTCACAGATAGAGAACATATACAACATAAATGAAAGATTATTTTGGTAGGGACTTCTTTAAGGAGGTAAACAAATTATCATCAAGAAACAGCTTGCAGAAGCTTAATTTATAAGATGCATAGTCAAAATTGAGTGTGAGCCTGTATTTACTGTGAATGTATTATTTATAATGCTGTTACCTGACACCAGTGCTTTGACTGCTATATTTCCAGTTCTCTTAAGACTATTCAAAAAACTCCAGACTGACCAAAACCGTGATCTTTAATTGTCTATATTTTTCAAGAATGTCCCATAGATTTCATGTAAAAGGAGTGTACTCTGAATAAACAAAATTCAGCTCCATTAAGTGTATCGGAATCACGGACGACAGAATGTCTTTTGGGTAAGTTCATCCATTTGGCACCGTACCAAAAAGGCCCTCTTGCCCAACAGAAGTATAGGTCTGAGAAAAAGGAATTCTTCTTCCTCGTTCGTAATCCTCCTTCAACATGACACCAAGGTTTAGGAAAAAAACATGAGAGAGAGCATATGTTAATTATGTTACGCTCATGAGTAATAACCTCCTTTGCCATTGCAACATTCACACAAAACAATCTCCTAAATAGTGAGGTTTAGCATACAAGATCTCAGCCCATAATTAGTCCAGGATTTCAAGAACAAGATTAGTGGCAGCAAAATGAAGAGATTGATCATTGACAAGTTTAACCTGTTTTTTGACGTTCATTAAAAGGTAAGTGAAGTTCCTCTCTAGGTTTGCTTCACTGCCTGTTCATCCACAGACACGGAGTAGTGAAACAGCAGTGTGCTGACTGGAACAGAGAGTCTTCCTAAAAGGAAAACATAAGCTAATCACTGGCCAGTTTTCTGACATACAGTCCTCTGCATTTTGGTTCTCTGCATTTTGGTTCTCTTCATTTCACGAGGAATATGCACCCATCTGAATATCCTCTTCTTGCTACTTAAAGCATGGGCAATAATTATTATTAACTATGCACAAAACTATTATTAACTATGCACTTTGTTAAATCTCTCATTAAAGTTACAGGGTTTGTTTTTATTTAAACTAAGTAAATGCATCCATTTCACTTTCAAATATGTCTAGGTCCAGATCAACAGATAATTAATGAGACAACATCATCGATAACCAAAATTATTACTAAATCAAATACTTAACTGAACCATACATCAGCACCATCCAACTCTACCAGAAATACCTCCTTCCAGTTTACAAGCTACCTGTCATTTAAATGGCAGAGATTACTTCCCAGAGCTTTGTTATTGACAGCTCAGATACTGTCTCACATACACATGCCAAAGAAAGCTTACTAAATGAACTGGACCTGCAAGTTTTGCTTCACTCCCTAGGGAATGATAGCAAGCCTAGAGCTGCATCGAGTTTTACTTGATGCTAAGATTCAAAAAAGCTTTTCAAGGCCCTGCTGTTCCCTTAACTTTTCTGTATCGGTTTAAACAACTTTCTCTTAAGTACCTTCTGAGGTTACGCTGGTGTTGGCAAAGGTACATACCTATAAAAAAGTGACATAATAATTACACAAAGTCTTTTTCATTAAGGTACTGATGTATGAATCCATCATAGGAGACCTAAACAAACTACTATTCAAAGTTAACTCATTGGAACATGCTTGTTTTGGGGAGATACCAACCAGATTGTTAGGAAGGCTCTCCCTTTTTCAAGAGAAACTAGGCCCCTGTGAGGATGCAGAATGAGATGTGACTTAGCAATCTCTCCATAGCATTCTTCAAGAGACTCAGCTGATCAAAGGTTTGTGTGAACAAAGCGGGAAAAGACATGACATCCAGTTAACTCTAATGAATCTGCGTCACAATAGCAAAGAAACATCCTAAGAAAGGGCAGGGATCCCTGAGCTGCAGTAAACTGTATTATACATTTGACTGTAAAATTCTGGACATACTCAGCATCTCCAGTCATTAGCAAAAGATAACACAGAGTATGATGAAGGGATACTGTAACTTAACTTTTGCATCAGAGAGCAAAGACACGCTGTATGGGAGGATACAATGGGACGCTTCATCGCCAGTGACCTTCTTGGGTAGGATCAGGGCAGCGGGGAGGCCTAACTGGAGGCTGCCGAATGACCGGTGGATAAAGGCTACTCAGGCTGTACTCGATGGCTGCAGCAACTGCCGCCTTACACAGAATTTCACAGCACGGACAAGCTTTTATGAGCTTGAAGCAGCTTTCTAGTTTCACCACCGTAAGGTGTGGAGGCATCATCCCATTTGCGGATGGGGCAGCACAGTCCCAAGCAAGCTCAGAAACTGAGCCAGACGTGTGGGTAAGCCTGGTGTTCAGCAAATTAAATATTAATTAGCCAGTTAACAGCCGCTTAGTGCCTTGCTAGGTCCTTCTAAGCAGCCTAAACGTTAAGGGAGTTCACCAGAAAGCGCCTGCAGATGCGGGAGTTGTGACAGGCCCAAA